GGTCTGGCCCAGCTTTGGGGGGGGGGGTGCTGGTTGGGGGACACCTCCCGAGGAGCTGCCGCACAGCCCCACCTCTGGTCACACCTTCCCCTCTCACTGACCACAGCGGCACAGCAGAAAGGGTGATGCGCGAGAGGCACCGCAGTGCCCTGCCAGGGCTCGGCCCCCCGGCACGGAGGGACATCTCCCGCGGACGGCCGCAACGCTTACCGCCAGCTCCCTGAGGCTCTGACACCCAGCTCGCCCCTTGCTGTTGGAAATGACCATCCCTCTGCTCTCAGTGTCCAGCCAGAGCTGATAACTCCATGGCACGATGGCCTTCTACAGCTGCAGCATGCTGTGTGCAATAGCCAGGACAAGGTAAGATAGAGAATGCTTAATTTTTTACATATACTTCATGCATGAGCATTCCTTCCTGTTAGTTCTCATACTGAATTGTTATTACATTATTAATTAAGCTCAGGGTGGTCACTCATGCATATGAAAACAAGGAGGCTCTCCTGCTTCACAGCACTTTAACACTATGTTAAAGGTGACTGTTGGGGTGTTTGATAGTGTACAAATTCAGGGCAACACCAGTGCTTTAAACTCAAGTAGACATGGCCTAAACTTCTACAAGAGGTTAACTGTCTAAACACAGGTAGTGTTAAGTTGGATTTATGTAAAAAATAAGGGCTTTCTGTAGCTGTTATAATCCATATTAGTCTGTGAGGTCTTACTCCTTATACAAATAAGAGATCAAACTATCTAACCACGTGCCTCTCTTCAGTGTTCAAGCTTATCTTTTCCAGCTGACAGCATGTTGCTGACAGGAGGAGGATGGGAGACAGCAAATGCAGAGAGTCATTTTCCAAACATTTGGGAAAAAGATGAGAAGTTTTGCCTTTAAGTTTGCAACTAGCAAATTTTAGCCAATGCAATTTCTAGAAGGGCTTTCTAGAAGAGGTCTGAAGACTTCAGTTACTCTTCCTAGAGAAAAGTTACTAACGTGAGACAAATTCTCAGCATTGTATCTTTTGTTGAAGGATCAGAACCTCAGGTACTGAGGTTGTCACAAGATTAATTTCACAAGATTAATTTGCCACTAAGATCATTAATTCATATATAATACTTAGGTAGCTCAGCCACAATGCACTGTCACTTACTTAAATCCTTTTCCAGTTTCAGAAGCTCCCATCTCCTTGTGCATGCCAGTTCTCCATATTCTCCTGCAGTTCCTTTTGTCCAACTGGTGGATTCTCATTTAAACCGGACTTGCATAAGACACTCCAAAAAACAGCAGTCATTCCACTGCACACAGCTGGGCATTGGTCTACCTCACTCAGGAACTCAGGTTGTGCGAACATTTCACACATCCGCTTACTTGCATCAGGAGCTTCAAGATAAACCTCTGCCCAACCGAAGTACTGTAAACCGGGGCACTGACACTCTTAAAACTCCAACAAAACAAGGCATAGAGACTGCTGTGGCAAAAAAGTCTTTACGCCAAAAAATTGTGGATGAACTGAAACATTATTACAATGGATTCCACTTGCTTTGGATCGACACTAAGGTTGCTGCCAGGATGCTGTGGAGGCTGTTACATGGTCAGGTTCTCACTAGGAGAGAGAGACGAAGGGTAAGTGCCAGGCACCTTACTAAAACGTGTTAAGAGGTTTATTGTAACTGAAGACGTTTTACCCTTCCTTTTTTAAGTTTCTTAAGAACAATTTTTTTGTGCAGTTGAATAATAGTCCATACTGTGTTCTTCTCTGTACAGTTGCTGAGAACTTGTGCAGATCTCTTCCGGCTGGTTCCTTTCCTCGTATTTGTCATTGTGCCCTTCATGGAATTTCTGTTACCTGTATTTTTGAAAATCTTCCCTGAAATGTTGCCCTCAACATTTGAGACAGAGTCAAAAAAGGTTTGTATCCCTTTTGAAGACATTATGTGCTTCAGCTAGTTAGAACATCATTACAACTACCTGAAGAGTTTATTGTTTTCTGCTACCGTAAATCAGCCTCACACACATCTAGATCAGACATTCCTATCTTATTCCTAGACAGGACAGCAGAATCTGAAGATTATACTATGAACAGTGATCAGTAGGAAAGCACAGAAAAAATCTGCTTGTTCCTTAAACTTCAGGGTTCCCACTGAGAGAAGGTAGTTACTGAATACAAGGCACAAAAATATTTCCCTCTTACTCCTCTCTATTGCTCTGGGAATATTACTGTATTGCTCCCTTCTCTGTACAGTGGAGTGATTCCATAGCAAACAGGGCATTCGTGTGGCAGATGGAGTAGAGGCTCTCATGAGGACTGTCTCAAATGTCAACCTCACAGATTTTCCAGTTCTCCTTAAGTCCATATTGTTTGTGCTTTTGAATTCCACATTTGAGCCACTAGCAGAGGAGGATAGCATCTAACCAAAGTAATCTTCAGCTTTGTGAGTTTTAAGACAGTTATTCAATTGTTCTAGCCCCAAGTCAAAAGTTTTGAAACATTATGTATTTATGAAAAATTCAGAAATCCTGTTGGTGAATTAGCTTGGTACCTGGGAATGACAGTGACATGTATTTCTGCTGTTCAGACCTGAAAAAATACCAGGAGTAGCTTTACAACGGTAGTGATGAACAATTTGAATTTCTAAATGAATCAAAACCTGTTGAATTTAGTAATGAAGTCTTACTCTTCCCCAGAACCCGCCTCACGCCCACTTTTCAAGTGGAATTTCTAATTATATGTTGTTTCTTAAATGAAGGAAGAAAAGCAAAAAAAGAGATTAAATGCAAAACTGGAGTTAGCAAAGTTCCTGCAGGAGACCATTGCAGAGATGGCCAAAAGGAACAAAGCAGATACAGGAGAAGGAAAACAATTCTCTTCCTATGTGCACCAGGTAAAATGGGCTGTGCTGGGGATGACAGCAGCAGCGTATACCAGTTTTTTAGTGCTCTTGTTTTGGGCAGAGAATGTGGGATTTGTGTGAGGACTGGAGAAAGCTCTGACAACACAGAGCTGTGCTGTCACGTATTTGTCGCTGATTAACTGTATACCCTCTTGCAGCTAATAGCTTAGTGAAACTAGCTTTTGACCCTATCTGTCAGTACTATACAGACACGCGTTTTCATCCTGGAACAACAGTTAAAATTTTACCCTGGGAAATCCTTGAATGGCTACTCAAAGACACCTTTTTACCTTGGGCTTTTAACTATATCATTCTTTGCAGCAAGAGACAGAAGTGCCAGTGTGAGAAATGGGAAGGGGATCCTCAAATAGGGAAGACAGCTGGAAACCATGATTCAATTTGAATGGCTTTTGGCTGTGATACCTCTACTTTGTTGTTCAGATTCGTCACACCGGTCACCAGCCTAGTACCCAAGAGATTGTGCGCTTCTCAAAGCTCTTTGAGGATGAGCTGACCCTGGAACACTTGGAGCGACCACAGTTGGTAGCCCTATGCAAATTGCTTGAGCTACAGCCCATCGGCACCAACAATCTGCTTCGCTTTCAACTTCTGCTGAGACTCAGGACTATCAAGACAGACGATGAGGTAAGTTTAAAATAGCACAGATGCTGCTCAGATGGATTGCACGCTTCTTAGCGATCTGAAGTTCTGCCCTCTGAATCACAGATTACCCATCTTGCATAAGACATGTGT